TCGGTCGTAAAACTGATGGCGACACGCTGAGGGAGGTCCATAGACTTTGGCCATGAGGCCCAACGCAGCCTTGAGCGTGGAGCGGTCCGATCTCGGTGCGGACCTGAAGGCCGCGAGCGCGTCGTCGTCCAACAAGGCAGGCAGTGCCCACAGCGCCGTAGCGTCGGACTAGGCCGACATCTCTTGATGCGCCAGAAACCTACGTTGGAATGCGCCCCAGTCCCCGCCTTCCGCCTTGAAGGCTGTCAACGTGGGAAGGCGCTGCTGGAAGATTACGTCGTCCTCTACCACGTGGCTCTCCCCCGCCGCACCGTCGGTCTGCAAAATGGCGGCCCCTATGGCGGGTGGCTGATGGCGGGCCGCAACGCGCGCTGATGACGTAAGCGGCCGCGCTTGGAGGACTCCCGCCACGTGTTGCTCGCCATTCCCGCCAAAAGATGTCCGCTCGGTAGAAATGGCGGGAACTGCAAAGTCATTTTGGCGGGAATCTGCGAGGCGAGTCTTTTGAATGTCCGCCGACGTCCCCGCTCCTCCCGACGTGGTGATCTCCGCCAGGATGGACGCCGCGGCGAGTAGCAGCTCTGCCAGGCGGGAGTGTGCCTCGCGGAGTCCGGCATCAGCCCCCAGCCGCTCGTCGGGCGCCCATGAGGGGTCCTGCGGCGCCGGCATCTCCTCCTCTTCTCCCCCTGATGCCTGCTGGCCCGAGTCGTCGTGGTTATCCTCGCGGTCAATCTCGTGAGTCCGATGAGTCTTCCTGGTATCCATGCCTGGAAGACTGTTTCACTCCTGACGCCAGTTGAAGTATAGTAAACTACGGCGGGAAACCACTTGACGGGTAGCACACTTTATTGACACTTGTCTTTCCACAATAACACGTGTGGTCACTATTTCTCACGCTACACGTTCCACTCGACACGTGTGGTCACTACAGCTCACGCTACACGTTCCACTCGACACGTGTGGTCACTACAGCTCACGCTACACGTTCCACTCGACACGTGTGGTCACGACAGCTCACGCTACACGTTCCACTCGACACGTGTGGTCACTACAACTCACGCTACACGTTCCACTCGACACGTGTGGTCACTACAGCTCACGCTACACGTTCCACTTGACACGTGTGGTCACTACAGCTCACGCTACACGTTCCACTCGACACGTGTGGTCACTACAGCTCACACTACACGTTCCCGCTACACGCTCACGGGCACTCCAGCCCCGTAGCATCCGTGGAACCTACAGACCCACCCCAGCTTGGGCGTGGGTCACGACCTCTGGGTCCCGCGGCCCGGCCCTCACACGGACGTCCGGCCCCCGGGTCCCAAGGTCCCGCCTCTGAGCCACACAGGGCCCCGGTCCTCACAAGGACAGCAGGACTAGGTGTCTCAGGGCCCTATCTCTTCCTCCTCCGTCTTCTGTCTTCACTGGTTACCAACTCCCCGCGCGCCTGCGCGCACCGCCTTATATAGCCTCCGCTCCCAGGAGACGGAGCCTATGCGGACCGCGACGTGAGCACCCACCTTAGTTGACCAATCACCACGCGCTGCCACACGATCCCTTCGCTGTCAGCGCGCGTATCACCACTACATCTGGGTAGCAGTGTTGAGTCTATGGGGCAGTGTTGAGTCTATGGGTAGCAGTGTTGAGTCTATGGGTAGTGTTGAGTCTATGGTGCAGTGTTGAGTCTATGGGGCAGTGTTGAGTCTATGGGTAGCAGTGTTGAGTCTATGGGTAGTGTGAGTCTATGTGCAGTGTTGAGTCTATGGGCAGTGTTGAGTCTATGGGCAGTGTGAGTCTATGGGCAGTGTTGAGTCTATGGTGCAGTGTTGAGTCTATGGGCAGTGTTGAGTCTATGGGTAGCAGTGTTGAGTCTATGGGTAGCAGTGTTGAGTCTATGGTGCAGTGTTGAGTCTATGGGTAGCAGTGTTGAGTCTATGGTGCAGTGTTGAGTCTATGGTGCAGTGTTGAGTCTATGGTGCAGTGTTGAGTCTATGGGCAGTGAGTCTATGGGCAGTGTTGAGTCTATGGTGCAGTGTTGAGTCTATGGGTAGCAGTGTTAAGTATATGGGCAGTGTTGAGTATATGGTGCAGTGTTGAGTCTATGGTGCAGTGTTGAGTCTATGGTGCAGTGTTGAGTCTATGGGTAGCAGTGTTGAGTCTATGGGTAGCAGTGTTGAGTCTATGGGTGGTGTGAGTCTATGGGCAGTGTTGAGTCTATGGGCAGTGCTGAGTCTATGGGTAGCAGTGTTGAGTCTATGGGCAGTGTTGAGTCATGGGCAGTGTTGAGTCTATGGGTAACAGTGTTGAGTCTATGGGCAGTGTTGAGTCTATGGGTAACAGTGTTGAGTCTATGGGTAGTGTGAGTCTATGGGTAACAGTGTTGAGTGTATGGGCAGTGTTGAGTGTATGGGTAGTGTGAGTCTATGGGTGACAGTGTTGAGTCTATGGGCAGTGTTGAGTCTATGGGTAGCAGTGTTAAGTCTATGGGCAGTGTTGAGTATATGGGCAGTGTTGAGTCTATGGTGCAGTGTTGAGTCTATGGGTAGCAGTGTTAAGTCTATGGGCAGTGTTGAGTATATGGTGCAGTGTTGAGTCTATGGTGCAGTGTTGAGTCTATGGTGCAGTGTTGAGTCTATGGGTAGCAGTGTTGAGTCTATGGGTGGTGTGAGTCTATGGGCAGTGTTGAGTCTATGGGTAGTAGTGTTGAGTCTATGGGCAGTGCTGAGTCTATGGGTAGCAGTGTTGAGTCTATGGGCAGTGTTGAGTCTATGGGCAGTGTTGAGTCTATGGGTAACAGTGTTGAGTCTATGGGCAGTGTTGAGTCTATGGGTAACAGTGTTGAGTCTATGGGTAGTGTGAGTCTATGGGTAACAGTGTTGAGTGTATGGGCAGTGTTGAGTGTATGGGTAGTGTGAGTCTATGGGTGACAGTGTTGAGTCTATGGGCAGTGTTGAGTCTATGGGCAGTGTTGAGTCTATGGGTAACAGTGTTGAGTATATGGGTAACAGTGTTAAGTCTATGGGTAGTGTGAGTCTATGGGTAGTGTGAGTCTATGGGTAACAGTGTTGAGTGTATGGGCAGTGTTGAGTCTATGGGCAGTGTTGAGTCTATGGGTAACAGTGTTGAGTCTATGGGTAACAGTGTTGAGTCTATGGGCAGTGTTGAGTCTATGGGTAATGTGAGTCTATGGGTGACAGTGTTGAGCCTATGGGTAGCAGTGTTGAGTCTATGGGCAGTGCTGAGTCTATGGGCAGTGTTGAGTCTATGGGCAGTGTTGAGTCTATGGGCAGTGTTGAGTCTATGGGCAGTGTTGAGTCTATGGGCAGTGTTGAGTCTACAGACAGTGTTGAGTCTATGGGCAGTGTGAGTCTATGGGCAGTGTGAGTCGATGGGCAGTGTTGAGTCTATGGGCAGTGTTGAGTCTATGGTGCAGTGTTGAGTCTATGGGTAGCAGTGTTGAGTCTATGGGTAGTGTGAGTCTATGGGCAGTGTTGAGTCTATGGGCAGTGTTGAGTCTATGGGTAGTGTTGAGTCTATGGGTAGCAGTGTTGAGTCTATGGGTAGTGTGAGTCTATGGGCAGTGTTGAGTCTATGGGCAGTGTTGAGTCTATGGGTAGTGTTGAGTCTATGGGTAGCAGTGTTGAGTCTATGGGTAGCAGTGTTGAGTCTATGGGCAGTGTGAGTCTATGGGCAGTGTTGAGTCTATGGGCAGTGTTGAGTCTATGGGCAGTGTGAGTCGATGGGCAGTGTTGAGTCTATGGGCAGTGTTGAGTCTATGGTGCAGTGTTGAGTCTATGGGTAGCAGTGTTGAGTCTATGGGTAGTGTGAGTCTATGGGCAGTGTTGAGTCTATGGGCAGTGTTGAGTCTATGGGTAGTGTTGAGTCTATGGGTAGCAGTGTTGAGTCTATGGGTAGTGTGAGTCTATGGGCAGTGTTGAGTCTATGGGCAGTGTTGAGTCTATGGGTAGTGTTGAGTCTATGGGTAGCAGTGTTGAGTCTATGGGTAGCAGTGTTGAGTCTATGGGCAGTGTGAGTCTATGGGCAGTGTTGAGTCTATGGGCAGTGTTGAGTCTATGGGTAACAGTGTTGAGTCTATGGGCAGTGTTGAGTCTATGGGTAACAGTGTTGAGTGTATGGGCAGTGTTGAGTGTATGGGCAGTGTTGAGTCTATGGGTAGTGTGAGTCTATGGGTGACAGTGTTGAGTCTATGGGTAGCAGTGTTGAGTCTATGGGCAGTGCTGAGTCTATGGGCAGTGTTGAGTCTATGGGCAGTGTTGAGTCTATTGGCAGTGTTGAGCCTATGGGCAGTGTTGAGTCTATGGGCAGGGTTGAGTCTATGGGTAGCAGTGTTGAGTCTATGGGTAGCAGTGTTGAGTCTATGGGTAGTGTGAGACTATGGGTAGTGTGAGTCTATGGGTAGTGTGAGTCTATGGGTAGCAGTGTTGCGTCTATGGTGCAGTGTTGAGTCTATGGGTAGTGTTGAGTCTATGGAAAGTGTTGAGTCTATGGGCAGTGTTGAGTCTATGGGCAGTGTTGAGTCTATGGGCAGTGTTGAGTCTATGGGCAGTGTTGAGTCTATGGGCAGTGTTGAGTCTATGGGTAGCAGTGTTGAGTCTATGGGTAGTGTGAGTCTATGGGTAGTGTGAGTCTATGGGTAGCAGTGTTGAGTCTATGGGCAGTGTTGAGTCTATGGGCAGTGTTGAGTCTATGGGTAGCAGTGTTGAGTCTATGGGTAGTGTGAGTCTATGGGCAGTGTTGAGTCTATGGTGCAGTGTTGAGTCTATGGGCAGTGTGAGTCTATGGGCAGTGTTGAGTCTATGGGCAGTGTTGAGTCTATGGGCAGTGTTGAGTCTATGGGCAGTGTTGAGTCTATGGTGCAGTGTTGAGTCTATGGGTAGCAGTGTTGAGTCTATGGGCAGGGCATACGACGTACGTATCCGAGCATGACAAGCGGCGGTGTGCGTGTGGGTGGTGTGTGGGGTGGTAGCGCTACTCACGATGAACCACTGGGTGACCACCTCGTCGCCCACGGAGCTGGTGACCGTGCAGGGGATCACCAGCGGACTTCCCAGTTCCACCTCGACCAGCGGGGTCACCGCCACGGAGATCGCCGCTTCGACGCCTGCGGCGATGACGGTCATCGCACGCAAGTCACGCTGCAGACTGTGTATAGTGGTGTAGTGTATAGTAGTGTAGTGTATAGTGTAGTGTATAGTAGTGTAGTGTATAGCGTAGTGTATAGTGTAGTGTATAGTAGTGTAGTGTATGTAGTGTATAGTGTAGTTTATAGTACTGTAGTGTAGAGGATAGTAGTGTAGTGTATAATGTATTGTGCAGCAGTATATATTAGTGCAGAGTATGTTACTGTAGTGTATCGTAGTGTAGTGTATAGTAGTGTATAGTAGTGTAGTGTATAGTGTAGTGTATAGTGTAGTGTAGTATATAGTATAGTGTAGTGTATAGTGTAGTGTAAAGTAGTGTATAGTGTAGTGTATAGTAGTGTAGTGTATTAGTGAAGTGTATAATGTAGTGTGTAGTGTATAGTAGTGTAGTGTATAGTAGTGTATAGTGTAGTGTATAGTAGTGTAGTGTATAGTGTAGTGTATAGTAGTGCAGTGTATAGTAGTGTAGTGTATAGTGTATAATAGTGTAGTGTATAGTGTAGTGTATAGTGTAGTGTATAGTTTAGTGTAAAGTAGTGTATAGTTTAGTGTAAAGTAGTGTATAGTGTAGTGTAAAGTAGTGTATAGTGTAGTGTAGTGTATAGTGTAGTGTATTAGTGAAGTGTATAGTGTAGTGTATAGTGTAGTGTAAAGTAGTGTATAGTGTAGTGTATAGTGTAGTGTATAGTAGTGTAGTGTATAGTGTAGTGCAGGGGTCCTCAAACTACGGCCCGCGGGCCACATGCGGCCCGCCGAGGACATTTATCCGGCCCGCCGGGTGTTTTTGCCGCCGCTGCCTGTCTGTTACTTTTTTTCTACATGAGAAGGACGGTCATTGGTGGAAGAGGGAGAGGGGGCGGAGTTCCCCCCAATCAGACTGCATTGATGGGCAGTGCAGTCTGTATGTCTCTGTGTGGGCAAAGTTATTGCTGGTATATTGTTTTTGTAGCGCTGTATATATATTGGTATTTTACTAATAGCAATTTTGACTCCCTAGGAAACAATGATGTCAAGAAAGAGAAACATTTACTCGGAGTGTAGGATATTCAAAGAACAGTGGACTTATGATTACTTTTTCATGCAGTACAAGGAAAGAGCTGTGTGTCTGATATGCCAGAATATAGTGTCTGTGTTCAAAGAATACAATTTACGTCGACACTATGAAACTCAACATAAAGATAAATATGATTGTTTGGTCGGAGGAGTGAGAAAAGATAAAATATTAAAACTGAAAAATACATTAGCAACTCAGCAAAATACTTTTGTGAAGCAGAAGCAGCTAAATATTTCATCACTGCAAGCAAGTTTTCAAGTTGCCAAGCTAATAGCAGACCATTCGTGGAGGGAGAATTTGTTAAAGAATGCCTTCTTTCTGTTGCCAAAGAGATGTGTCCAGAGAAGGCCGATTTATTTAGTACAGTGAGTCTTTCAGGACCTACAATTACACGGAGGATTGAAGAAATGGGAGACAATTTGCATCAGCATTTGCAAAACTCCACAAAAAAACTTTCCTATTTTTCCTTGGCACTCGACGAAAGCAATGATGTTCGTGATTCTGCACAACTTCTAATTTTTATTCGTGGGACGAATGACTATTTCGAAGTCACAGAAGAGCTTGCTGCACTGCAAAGCATCAAAGGAACAACTATAGGAGAGGATATCTTTCGATTTAAAGCTTTCATGCCTGCAGGGATTCATCTTCTTGGTTCTTTCGGTAAAGTCACGTAGAAGGGAAGTAATAAAATAATTTGCATATCAAGAGGAATTTAGCATATGTATGGGAAATGCAGGAAAGTTATTAGTACTACATATGCAGCACGGGCATATGTAGTACTAATCACATTCCTGCATTTCCCATACATATGCTAAATTCCTCTTGATATGCAAATTATTTTGTCAAGGCGCTCTTTCCCCCGTTTCCAACCCAGCTTATATATGCTCCAAGCTCGTGTGCTGTTTCATTCAGACGCTGTCTCCCCGACAGACCTGGTTTTCACCTGAGGACGGCTGCTTGCGTTGTGGCCGAAACGTCGTGAGAATTATTTTATTATGTTTTATTTTTATTATTTTATTACTTCCCTTCTACGTGACTTTACCGAAAGAACCAAGAAGAGAGGATATCTATGAAAAGGTTTGCCAAACTGTGAATGGTTTAGAGCTGAACTGGGCTAAACTAGCCAGTGTGACAACTGATGGTGCTCCTAGCATGGTGGGGTCTAAGAAAGGAGTAATTTCTCGCATTAACCAAGAAATGGACAAACATAACCATTCTCATCCAATAGCCATACACTGCCTCATCCACCAACAAGCGCTGTGTAGTAAATCACTGAAGTGGGACTCTGTTATGAAATTTGTGGTATCTTGTGTTAACTTCATTAGAGCTCATGCACTAAACCACAGACAATTTCAGGAATTTATGTCTGAGCTAAATGTTGACTATGAAGATGTTCTGTATCACACAGAAGTCCGTTGGCTGAGTCGAGGGAGAGTTTGAAAACGTTTCTATGACTTACTTCCACAGATTACAGCTTTTCTGCTTTAAAAAAACAAAGAAGTACCAGAGCTCAATGATGCAGAATGGAAATGGCACCTTGCCTTTCTGACAGATGTAACAGAGCTACTCAACAGTTTCAATGTGCAACTTCAAGGAAAGGGGAAGCTCATCTGTGATATGCAATCACATGTCAAAGCATTTGAAGTAAAATTAGGCCTCCTCATTAAACAAGTGAAGGAGGAAAACTTCTGCCATCTCCCCACAACTCAAAATCTGTTAGCGGAAAAACCATTGGTTGCATTCCCAAACAAAACATGTGTGGATTCACTGGAAAAATTGCAAAAGGAGTTCCAATTTGGATTTAAAGAGCTTCATCTCCATGAACAGGACATACAGCTTTTCCGTAACCCATTTTCTATTGACATTGAAAATGTGGATACAATTTACCAAATGGAACTGGCTGAACTGCAGAATTGTGACTCTCTGAAAGACGCACTCAAGTCAAGCAGCCTTCATAATTTCTATGCATCTCTCCCCTCTGAGACATATCGTCATCTCAGGAATCATGCACTCAAAATGGCAACCATCTTTGGCAGCACTTATGTCTGTGAACAGACTTTTTCCAGAATGAAACATTTGAAATCTCCAACCAGATCTAGACTAACGGATGCACACTTGCATCACTTGTTACGACTAGCAGTGACAAATATGGAACCGGACATTGACCATCTCATTAGCCAAAAGCAGGCCCATAGTTTTCATTCAAATACTGGCAAGTTTGTTGATTTAATTTTACTTGTTCTTCATTTTAAATATTGTATTTGTTCCCGTTTTGTTTCTTCACTTCAAAATAAGATATATGCAGTGTGCATAGGAATTTGTTCATAGTTTTTTTTTTACTATAGTCCGGCCCTCCAACGGTCTGAGGGACAGTGAACTGGCCCCCTGTTTAAAAAGTTTGAGGACCCCTGGTGTAGTGTATAGTGTCGTGTATAGTGTAGTGTATAATGTAGTGTATAGTGTAGTGTAAAGTGTAGTGTATAGTGTAGTGTATAGTGTAGTGTAAAGTAGTGTATAGTGTAGTGTATAGTGTAGTGTAGTAGTGAAGTGTATAGTAGTGTAGTGTATAGTGTAGTGTATAGTGTAGTGTATAGTGTAGTGTAGTAGTGAAGTGTATAGTAGTGTAGTGTATAGTAGTGTATAGTGTAGTGTATAGTGTAGTGTAGTAGTGAAGTGTGTAGTAGTGTGTAGTGTATAGTGTAGTGTATAGTGTAGTGTATAGTGTAGTGTAGTAGTGAAGTGTATAGTAGTGTAGTGTATAGTGTAGTGTAAAGTAGTGTATAGTGTAGTGTAGTAGTGAAGTGTACAGTACACGAGGCTAGATGACGACTTACACGATGGAATCCACCGTCGTGCAGGAACCAACGAGGCGTCGCCCGTCGCACTCAGCAAATCAGCACTCAGCAAATCGGCACTCAGCAAATCGCGACTCTTTTTTTAAAGAAAGACTCCCCATCGTACAGCGCCAATTCGCGTGTGTGGGGTGCCACGAATCTTCCGCGTCTACAGACGACGACTGACACGGTGAAGCCGAACCACGATCGCATGAGGGGGGGGGGGGGGGGATGCTGCTGGATGCTGCCGATGTTCACGGCGGCGGCGATCATCACCTTGAAAGGAGACGGAGGCGAGAAACAGCAACGCGACACATCGCAGCGACATGTGGCCGGCAAGTTCTCGCTGCTCCTGCTGCTGCTGCTGCTGCTGATTGCTTGCAGCTGCTGCTGCTGGTGCTTGCAGAGCCGTGAACCCACCGTGCCCTTCTCCTCCCGTCGTCAATCCTGTGTCGTGTGAAACACAACGCAGCAGTCCGCACCGTCAGAACACATTGTCCTGCTGCTGCGGAGGGAGCTGCTAGGAACACGTCGGATCCCGAGGAGGGCTAGGTGTGCCGCGGGTCGTTTGTTCACGTGTCATTGCTTCACCTTTTTGTTGATTGATGCTTGTATATAGTGTAGAGTTGTACAGGTTGGTTATGGTATTTATGGTTGCTTTCTTGTTCTCTTTTCTTTTCCTGTTGAGGCTCGCGTATTTTTTTTCTCTCTCTCCCTTTCGTTAATTTAAACTTTCTAATTATTGACAGCCGGGACGGCTGGAGGCTACGTAGAGGGGGGTAATGTAGTGACATAAGAAGGGAGGGGCTGCTGGGGGCTCTGGGTTCCCGGGCGGGTCCAGACGCTTAAGCCTCTGGGCGCCAGGCGTTGGGTTCCCAGGGGGTCCAGACGCTTAAGCCTCTGGGCGCCGCCAACGGGGGGGGGGGGGGCTGTGTGTGCTCTGTGGGATGTCTGGTGGCGCACACGGCCCCACCCCTCGTTGGACCAGGCATAAAAGGAGAGCTCCCTGGACGATCGGGGCCCAGTTGTAACTCAAGACCCAAGACCCACGACCAGCCATCTGAAGACCCTGGGATGATGTGAGAGCCAGTGGTGGGACTCTGGAACTCCCGACTCTACGACCTTGTGAGGGCGAGTTCCAGAGTGTAGCCAGAGTAGTGTACCTAGGCTGTGTACCTAGGCTGTGTACCTAGGCTGTAACAGAGTATCAGGACTGTTGGAGAGTTGGACTGTTGGAGTGTTGTATTGTAATAAAGAAGTTACCTCTACAAGTGTCTCCGGAACCCATTACATATATATTGGTATTTTATTACTAATAGCAATTTTGACTCCCTAGGAAACAATGATGTCAAGAAAGAGAAAAATTTACTCGGAGTGTAGGATATTCAAAGAAAAGTGGACTTATAATTACTTTTTCATGCAGTACAAGGAAAGAGCTGTGTGTCTGATATGCCAGAATATAGTGTCTGTGTTCAAAGAATACAATTTACGTCGACACTATGAAACTCAACATAAAGATAAATATGATTGTTTGGTCGGAGAAGTGAGAAAAGATAAAACATTAAAACTGAAAAATACATTAACAACTCAGCAAAATACTTTTGTGAAGCAGAAGCAGCTAAATATTTCATCACTGCGAGCAAGTTTTCAAGTTGCCAAGCTAATAGCGTGCACTGGCAGACCATTCGTGGAGGGAGAATTTGTTAAAGAATGCCTTCTTTCTGTTGCCAAAGAGATGTGTCCAGAGAAGGCCGATTTATTTAGTACAGTGAGTCTTTCAGGACCTACAATTACACGGAGGATTGAAGAAATGGGAGACAATTTGCATCAGCATTTGCAAAACTCCACAAAAAAACTTTCCTATTTTTCCTTGGCACTCGACGAAAGCAATGATGTTCGTGATTCTGCACAACTTCTAATGTTTATTCGTGGGACGAATGACTATTTCGAAGTCACAGAAGAGCTTGCTGCACTGCAAAGCATCAAAGGAACAACTACAGGAGAGGATATCTATGAAAAGTTTGCCAAACTGTGAATGGTTTGGAGCTGAACAGACGACCTGCTTGTCAGTTTTGATGTGGTCTCCTTGTTCACCAAGGTTCCTGTACCTGACACCATCGCAATCATTGAAGACTTGGTTCATCAAGGACTGAATGCTGGAGTACCCCCCCTGGTGAGACACTGCTTAACCAATACATACTTCACCTGGAATGGAACTTTCTACAGGCAAACTGAGGGCACCCCAATGGGCTCCCCCCTATCTCCGGTTGTAGCCAACGTCTTCATGGAGAAATTTGAGACTGACGCCATCCAGACTGCCACTCTACACCCGACCTTGTGGTAGAGGTACGTAGATGACACTTTTGTCATCTGGCCACATGGCCGGCCTGCTCTAGACCAATTTGTCGACCACATCAATTCCATACACCCAGCCATCAGATTCACCATGGAAGTCGAAAAAGATGGCAAGCTACCCACACTCTCACACACTCACACACCCACCCACACACTCTCACACCCACCCACACACCCACCCACACACTCTTCACACACTCACACTCCCACACTCTCACACCCACACACTCCCACACTTTCACACCCACCCACACACTCTCACACCCACACACACACTCCCACACTCTCACACCCACACTCACACCCACCCACACACTCTCACACCCACTCACTCACCCACGTCCGCCATTGTCCACGCGGCGTGGTTGCTGCAACACAACACGTGGTGGTGGTGAGGGGTGTTGCTACAACACGTGGTGGTGGGAGGGGTGTTGTTACAACACGTGGTGGTGGTGAGGGGTGTTGTTACAACACGTGGTGAGGGGTGATGAGGGGTGATGCTGCATAGCGGCGAGAAATGCCTACATCTTACTACAACAACTAGTGTTGTTGTTGTTGTGATACTCACAGGGTGGTGCTAGTTGTGGTAGTAAAAAGAGTTGTGGTGGCAATAAGAGTGGTAGTAGTAGTCGTGATAAGAGTGCTAGTAATACTCACAAGGTAGTAGTAGTGGTAGTAGTTGCTGTTGTTGTGGTAGTTGTTGTTGTGGTAGTTGTTGTTGTTGTTGCTGGGCGATATCCCAGCGTCTCTTCCCACCAAGGCGACCTCCTCACGCGCTGAAGCCCCGCCCACAGCAGGCGCGAGACGCGCCCTGATTGGCTGCCGGCGCTGACGCGTCACCCCGCAGCCCCCTCGCTTCTAATTGGTGGATTGAAACCCCGCCGCGTGGAAACTTCCGCTTTGATAATCGAAGGGATTTTCCCCCTTTCTGGCCACAATAAAACCCTCGTGTGTTTAAGACGTTAAAACACCAAACTGAAACCTTTGCAAGGAATCATGTCTGCATTTACCACACAAAGACAAAGATCCCCCGTATAGCCTAAACAGACTGTAGGGGCAAGTGCTGTTAGCGAGCACCTATGAAGGCCGTAACGGTACACGAGGGGGTGGGTGGCCAGCACCACGCCCGACCGCCTTTGTCTCCCCAGTGGCGATGTTTACACACCGCACCAGGTACTCATTTAAGGCTGAGTCGACCTAGGTGAGGCCCAGGACCGGTTCAGATAATCGTCACTGGTGTTGGCCGTGAGCGGGAATCGAAACCGGGTCGCCAGGTTCATAGCGCAGCGCGCTAACCGGTACACTACCGCTCCCCACGCACGCACACACACACATATACACACGCACACTCACGCACACGCACACACGTACACACACACACGCACATACACGCACACACACTCACGCACACGCACACACATGCACACACATGCGCACACACACGCACACTCACACACACGCACCCGCACACACGCACACACATGCACACACAACAACAACCGCCATTCGCCACTAAGTGGCGGTGACGTCACCACGACGCTTGTGCCAGGCCATGTGCACCATGCCACGCACACACACGCTCTCAGGTGTGAGCACACCTGTAATGTCACGTGACCTGTAATGCCCGGTTACTTGTCAAATCCCTTCTTGAGTACTTTTGCACGCGGAGAAAGCCAATGCGTTCAACTGGACACACGCGTGGAGATGGGTCACGTGTAGAGAGTGGTGAGTGAACCCTGTTGCTTGAGCGACTCGTAAAGCCGCTTCCGCAACTTTCCTAATTAAATTATTAAATCCACGAGGCGCTACTCACGGAGGGGGGAGGGGGGGGGTAATGCCACGAATACGATCTGACTTTTTTGTTGCTGCAGGAAATTAAATCGGCTATTTTACCCCGTCCAAATGCAAAGACTCGTTTGAGGAAGAGAACGTAGAGTGCCACGCGGCACGAGTCGGCGTTCTCTCGCATGCGATGAAGCCTCTTGCATTCGTTATGGAAATGTCAGGAGTGACCTTTCGCCAGTGTGGCTAATTAAACACACAACGGCAGGACTGGACTCGATTAACGATTGGTTTCAAGGGCAGATTGAAAGTGAGAGCACTTTTATAAAGCAAACGCATTCCCAGCCCCCTGAACAAAAGAAACTGGTACGAGCCACTCTGCAATCTAAACGTGTGCGTCTCTGACTGCTGCAATGTCTATAAACTCAAACATCTGTTTTAGTTCACAAAGCATGGCCCACTGAGCGATGTAGCGCTCTTTCAGAAGCGACCTGGCTTTCACAAATGATAGCCACATTGAAATGGATGATGACGTGGACACTTAAAGCAGCCAAATGCTCTGAACGCGTGATGTTGATTCTAAATGTGGAGGGGGAAAACCGGAGGACCCGGAGAAAAATCCACGGGGAGAATATCATGCAGGAGATGGTGGGTGGTGAAGGGTGATGTTTGCCATGGGTATTGTGCACTAACCATCCTGGGTTTAACCGGCAGGCTGGATTGTGTGAGGAGCTCACAAATCCTTGAAAGATCTGGCCAAAGTCCCTTTGGTGAGTTCCTCCGGCAGGCAAGGCTGCGTTGGCTGGGTCATGTAGCCCGCATGCCCAGCCACCGCATGCCTAAACAGCTTTTGTTCGGCCGGATCGAGGGGGCTAAACGGGCGCGGCACGGGCTAGAGAGGAGATGGAGTGATGCGGTACAGGAGGACGTAGAGCTGAGTGGACTTGCCGATGACTGGTACCAGCGGTGTCAAGATCGGCCTCTGTGGAGGAGGCTCGTGAAGGACGCTACTGGGCAGTTGGAGGCAGTCGCCCTCCAACAACAACGGAGGGCGGAGGAGCGACGCTCACAACAACGAGCGGAGCGCCGGGTGGCTAAAGCACAGCAAGTTGGCACAGTAGGGGGCACAGGTGGTGCATCAGCCAGTCATCTCGGTCATCTCAGTCAGTCGACCCGTGGCACCTGCTGGGTCTGCCCCGTTACCTCCTGCCAGCGGGCGTTCGACACTTCACGTGGCCTCAAGGTGCACATGGCCTGGCACAAGCGTCGTGGTGACGTCACCGCCACTTAGTGGCGAATGGCGGTTGTTGTTGTGTGTTTAGCAGCACCTGCCCTACACGGGGGAGCTTTGCCGTTGTAGTGAAGGATGTTGCGGGCGGGGTGGTCTGGTTTGCCACAGCCTCAAGATTGCAAAACTTTGACAACGACTCGTCACGAGCGGGTGGTGGTGGTGCTGCTGGAAGGGGAACATCACCACTGGGGAGACAAAGGCGGTCGGGCGTGTACCCGTGATATAGGTACCCGCTAACAGCACTTGCCCCTACCGCCCTGCTAGAGGCTACCTGGCGTAGCTTTGTCTGTCCGTGACACTCTTAATTGGATCAATTAAGAGATGACAGACCACGTGATGTGGGCGTGATGACATCGGCCGCTGATGCAGGGCGACGTTTCAGGCGGTGGTCCTGAAAGAGGACACGCCCAACACACAGACAAAGCTCCCCCAGGTAGCCTCTAGCAGGGCGGTAGGGGCAAGTGCTGCTAGTAGCGAGTAGCACCGCCTATGATACACACACAGACAAAGCTCCCCCAGGTAGCCTCTAGCAGGGCTGTAGGGGCAAGTGCTGCTAGTAGCGAGTAGCACCGCCTATGATACACAGACAAAGCTCCCCCAGGTAGCCTCTAGCAGGGCTGTAGGGGCAAGTGCTGCTAGTAGCGAGTAGCACCGCCTATGATACACACACAAACAAAGCTCCCCCAGGTAGCCTCTAGGCGGCTGTAGGGGCAAGTGCTGCTAGTAGCGAGTAGCCCCGCCTATGATACACATGTAGTGGTGATACGCGCTGGGATTAGGGATCGTATGCCAGCGCGTAATGATTGGCTGTGTATGTGGTGACGCGCGCTGACGGTGGAGGATCAGGGGTCAGCGCGGGGTCGTGGGTTACGGGGTAATGATTGGCTGTGGGCCGGTGACGCGCTGAGAGGGAGTGACCGGGTGGCAGCGCGGTGTGATTGGTGGAGTAGTGTTAACACGCGCTGGGGAAAACGGATCGTAGAGAGAGCGCGTCGTGATTGGTTCACTAAGGAGCGATGCTCACGTCGACGTCCGCATCAGCTCCGTCTCTCGTGAGCAGGGGCTATAAAAGGGGATGCACACAGGCGTAAGGGCAGTATGTAACCAGCGAAGAATGAAGACGGGGATCGAAGAGATAGGGCCCTGCGGTACCTAGTCCCGCTGTCCTAACGGGACCGGGACTCTGTGTAACCCAGAGGCGAGTGTATTGTGTGTAGCCATAGGCATAGGGTCTACACGAGTCAAGTGTATTGTGTGTAGCCAGAGGCATAGGGTCTACACGAGTCAAGTGTATGGTGTGTAGCCAGAGGCATAGGGTCTACACGAGTCAAGTGTATTGTGTGTAGCCAGAGGCATAGGGTCTACACGAGTCAAGTGTATTGTGTGTAGCCAGAGGCATAGAGTCTACACGAGTTAAGTGGAGTGTATAGTCCAAAGAATAGAGACCACACGTTGTATTCTGACACGTCAAGATTTAATAAAAGTGTGTTACCCGTCAAGAAGTTCCTGCCGTCATTTCCAATACTTCAACTGGCGTCAGAAGTGAAACGGTCTTCCAAGCATGGATACAAGGAAGACCCGTCGGACCCACGGGATTGACCGCGGGGACAACCTTGACGACTCGGGCCAGCTGGCATCGGGGGGTGAGGACGAAGAATTGCCCACGCTGCAGGATCCGCCGACGGCGCCGGACGAGCGACGGGGGACCGATGCCGTGCTCCGGGAGGCGCACTCCCGTCTGGCGGAGCTGCTGCTCGCCGCCGCGTCCATCCTGGCGGAGATCAGCTCGTCTGGAGGAGCGGGGACGGCGGCGGACATTCTACAGGGTCGCCCCGCAGATTCCCGCCAAAATGACTTGGCGATTCCCGCCATTTCATCTGCGCCGACTTTTGGCGGGAACGGCCATCACCACGTGGCAGCGGTTCTTCAAGCGCGCCCGCTTACGTCACCAATGCGCGCTGCAGACCGCCATCAGACACCCGCCACTGGGGCCGCCATCTTACGCACAGACGGGGCGGCGGTGAGGAACCACGAGGCGGAGGACGACTTCATCTTTCAACAGCGCCTTCCCACATTGTCAGCCTTCAAGGCGGAAGGCGGGGACTGGGGCCAATTTCAGCGCAGGTTTTTGGCGCATCAGGAGATGTCCGCCTGGTCCGACGCTACGGCGCTGCGGGCACTGCCTGCCATGCTGGACGACAACGCGCTCGCGGCCTTCACGTCCGCACGCAGGTCGGACCGCTCCACGCTCAAGGATGCGCTGGCTCTCATGGCCAAGGTCTACGGTCCTCCCTCGGCGTGTCGCCATCAATTTTATGCAAGGCGGAAGGCGGACACGGAGACCGTGCTTGCCTATCGCACGGCGTTGCTGGCTCTCGCCGACGCCGCGTTCCCTCGTATGGACGAGGAGGGCAAAGATGCGATGGTTTTGGAGCAACTGCTCAAGTTGGCGCAGGACCTGGGGGTCCCCATCAACACGGCCGACGAGATCGATATTTCTTCCTTGCGGGTCGCTACAAGTATACAAGCGCACGAGGTCCTTCAACGTAAACAGGTGGTCGTCTGCAACGCTGCCGTGGCCTCGGCTCCGGGCCCGGTAGTCACCGAACCCCAAGTCGTCAGCCCACGAGAGGAGGCGTTCACCGCGGGACGACCGGGGGACTGGAGGTCGGGGGGTCGTT